AGAGGCGTGCCCGCGCAGACGGGGTAGAACTGAGAGTCACCGGCCGGCCCGGGAAGGCAGAGCCCCCAGGGCGGCACCAGCTGCTGCGGCCCCGTCCTGGTGCCTGGGTCTCTTTCTTCTCGTCTCTTTTCTTCTTAGACCAAAACGCCTCAGATTTCTCCCGTTTTCTTACGCAGAACCTTCAGCCCTCTCTCCTGACCCTTCCCTGGGCTCATGTTTTTATGCTCAGATGGTCCGTCCAGTGTTTTCCTCGCTAAGACAGCATCCACCAAGGACAGCTCAGCCCACCACACGGAAAGTGGTGCTTTGTTGTCTTTGGGGGACGGGCTTGCGGTAATCTTCTTTTTCGGTTTAAAATTGTTCTTCCGGAAGTATTTTGTGGCGATCGTATGTTTTCTCCAGCGACAGCCGCGGCAGCAGCAGCAGCAAGGTTCCAGCTGGGACTGGCAGGAGATGAGACCCTCCCTGTCCTTGCAGCATCTTAAAATCTCCCCAGGACACAGGTCCCAGCTGGGACAACTTTGTTTCCATCTTGCCCCAGGAGAAAAGAGAAAATGCTGAAGTCGTCCCCTTCCCTCCTGTCTCCTTCGTAGCTTTCTTTTGTTCACCGAAGGGTGGGAAGGAAAAGGTTCACGGAGGTGTGGGAGATCCAGGAGAGCGAGCTCGGTGGGCCCTCGGAAGCCGGGAGCCAGGACAGAGCGGGGAGCGAGGCCCAGGAGCCGCCTGACAGAGCAGTGCCGGGGTCTCACCAGCGAGCTCAGCAGCAGGAACAGCGTGAAAGACGGGAAGAAGGGGGGAATCGGGCCCTCGAAATGCCTTTTAGCCGTCCGGGGGAGAGGACAGGAGAGATGAGAGTAGATCGATGTCCGGCTCTGTCAGTCTTGGCCACCGTGGGACTGGGAGAGCAACAGGGAGGGTGCGCTGGGCGCGGAAGCCCACCGATGCCAGGGGTGTCCGAGAAAGACTGTGGTGCAGAAGTCTGACCGGGGAAGCCTTGCCCCCAGCACTAGGGACCTGAATTGTTCTCAGGGTTTAGTTTAAGTAAATCATGAAATAATGCTAAGATAAAACTCTGGTAAGCTTTGGGGCCGGCGCAGTGGCTCACGCCTGTAATCCCAACACTTTGGGAGGCCGAGGTGGGCGGATCACGAGGTCAGGAGAGTTCAAGACCAGCCTGGCCAACATGGCAAAACTCTGTCTCTGCTAAAACTACAAAAAGT